CCCTCCTTTCCTGAACTTTTCTTGACCTAAGAAAAAAAATAAAAAATATCCCCCTCTAGTGGCAGAAGACGGAATAGCAGCTTCCCATTAGTTTCCCATTAGTTTCTATGGATGGAAAAGAGCAGATACGGATTAAATGGTTTTCAGTGCATTCCTATGGGAAATGCAGATTCGACCTACAAACTTTTCGACCTACGAACTGCCTTCCAATACGGATTAAGTTCGTAAGTCAAGACGCCACTGTATTATAAGTAAAATCTCAATTCAAAGAGCCCCATATATAAAATTACATTAAAAAAACACCAAGAAGTTACCCCCCACATATAGTCCAGGTCTGTCCTCCTCCACCTCTTAATTTTGTCCTTTTAAGTTTTACTAGTCTTGATGTTATTGGAGCTATTTTCGAAGTTGTTAAAGTTGATGTTATTAGCAGCAAAAACAGCGGAGTGAGGATGCTATTCACGGGTTGCATCACATAGGTCTTAAAATTGAGCATAGGGAGCATCAGGAACAGTAAAGTCCAGGGAGAAAGATATTCAGTCCCCAGCTTTTCCTTTACCCTTCCTTAAGAGGAAGTGTGGTGTCTCTGTAGATAGGTCAAGAGCAGCAGCGTGAGCAGTCCAGCTCTAGGCAGAAGGCTGCTGTTAGGAACCCAACATGGCAACCGCCTAGCCGAGATCCACAGTAGACAGCTCTCTCTCCTCCACGGCCACCCAGAAATTTTTCTGTGCCGTCCTGCCACCAGAGCCTGGGATGGTCGGTTCCACCTCACCAACAGCCAAGACTTTCAGGGCTCCCAGACCTCAAATCCGCCTCAAATTGGGCAAGCTCAGGCAAGCTCTTCGGGACGAAGGGGGGCGCTGGGCCTGCAGCCTCCAGATCTCTTTTTTCGTCCTCTGCCCTTCAGTGGCAGTTTCCGCTCTGGGCTTGGGCTTGGTCCCAAAAACCTGTTCCCCACCAGCGCTCACCCACCTCCTCCTGAGAAAAAGGCTCCCGAGCCTCCGAGCTCCGCGCTCCGTCAAACAGCTGAGGCTCCACAGCCGAGCTTCAGCTCCAGACCCCGCGTTTGAGCTCCAGATCTAGTCCCCACAGTCCTGCTCTAAATACGGCGACCGATTAAAAAGAAAACGAGGGGGGAAGGCCGACTGGGGAAAAGTAAAAAAGAGAAAAGGAAAAAAGGAAGAGAAGAAGAGCAAAAATAGTAAAAGGGGCCCAAGAGGGAAGCCGGTGCAGTGGAGAAAAGTGCCAGCCAACTGCCACCGGCGCCATCTTGGGGGAAAAAAATTGGATTGGAGCCAGGCAAGTGCCAGGCCACCGATTCCCAACTCGGAGAGCCTCCCCAGGAGGATACCATGGTTGATGGTATCGAAGGCGGCAGAGATATCGAGGAGGACCAACAAGGACATTTTGCCTTGTCAGCCTCCCTCAACAGGTCATCCAACAGTGCAACCAGTGCCGTTTCTGTGCCGTGGCACAGCCTGAAGCCCGACTGGAATGGATCCAGGGCATTGGTTTCATCCAAAAGATCCTGAAGATGATCAGCCACCACCCTCTCGACCACTTTACTAAGGAAAGAAACACTGGCGACAGGCCTATAATTGCCAAATTAGGTTTCTTTCTTATGAGCCTAATGAATGTCTCCTTGAGGGCAAGAGGTCCTCCTGGAGAGACCCATTAATTATCGCAGTAGCCCATTCCATTGTTACAGGCCTGGCTACTCTGATTAGCCAGGCCAGGCAAGGGTCAAGAGAGGAAGTGGTGGCCTGGCAGCGATCAAGCGCTTTGTCCACCAAATCTGGTGTCATAGGCTGAAAAAATTCAAGACAAACACAATAGCAACAATTTATCTAACAAAGACCCTGATGGCAGCAGTACCCTAAGAAAGCCTATATATGGCACAAAGGAACTTCTAAGGTAATGTTTCAGGGTGAGATCACAGAGGTTTCATCAGCACAAGTATCCTGTCAGCCATGTTCCATTCAGAATAAGGTGGATAAAACTCAATGATTTTTAAAAATCAAACATCCTCTCTTCTGCTCCTACTGAATCAGAACAGGCAGAAAAAAACTGTCTGGCTTCTTAAATATACAGTATTAAGCTTAGAGTTTTACATAATAGTTTAACATTTCAACACAAGCTACATGCTATGTAAATTGAAAACTACTCACTGCATTTTTTGTATTTCATCTTCATCTACTTTATGCTTTTTTTCTTTTTTCTCCTTTATCTCTATTTTTATTTTTTTGGCTGCACAAGACTGTGATGTAGACTCTTCCATTTCACCAAGGATGAGCTCAGAAGGTTCATTGTTTTTTATCTAGTTAAAAAAAAGATATTCAGCTAGGCTTTGTTTCTATGCTTACTTTGTCACCGATATTAAGCATTCACCACGAATTTTACATTCTAGTCACTACATACCATAAATTTATAATAGTGGACACTAGCCATTGAAGGCATGGGACCAATTATTATATTCTACTGGCAGAACAGTAAGATCCAATGTTATGAGAGGAAGAATATTCTCTCTTCCAGTTGTTCTCCCCCTGACGAAGCATCAAAAGCAGGCTTTATGGCCTTGAAACCCCTCTGGATTTTGTTTCCAGTTGGGAAAAAAGTCCTCAAACCACCAGTGGAATGCTGGATTTAATCCACTGTTACCACATATGTGGTCTGAATTGTTTGTCTGCTTTAACAAAAGGCTTGTACAGAAATAAATCATTTGGATACTTAATGTTGGTATTTTTATTTTCATCTTTTTTGTCCTTGATATGTACTACTCACGATTCATACAGTATGAAAACATGGGTCAGAGGAACAGACATATTTTACCACAAATTAAAACACTGATGCTGTACTTATGTCCTTAGATCTCCTTTCTTGTATTAAAATTACAAGCATATGTAATAGTTTTATATATAAACACATAAATAAACAATAAAGGTAATCTCCTCCCCTTACATATTGTGGAAGTTTAATATTCTTTTTAGTTCTTTCTAATACTATTCATTTATTCTGCAATAGCCTGTCTTGTGCTACCTTCCAAAGGAGGATGCTTTACTAAACCGACAAAAAGGACCCATAAGATGATTTTGCGTTCATATGTATTTACACGACACGTATACAGTCGTAATCCAAACGAGATAACTACTTCCAGAGATATGGAAGAGGCCGTGTGTTTACGTATCTAAGAATACTTCAAATACATTCCCCAGATAGTAAACGTCGTCATAAAAGAGGTCGTCTCTCCTAACTATGGACACCTGAAAAACATAATCAGCCACCCTAAGCCGCGAACTATCATGGAGCCAGAATTCGGCATCTACGGAACAGTTACCCCAATGGCCGGGCAGGCAGTGAGAAAAGGGTGTACCTATGGGAACTTTGTACGCGCCGCGTCCTTTTCCTACCCACCTCGATAGCCTGTACCTCCTCCTTCAGTTCTGGCTCTTTTTCCTGCTCTTCGACTACTACTGGAGCAACGACAGAGGACTCCTCGGTAGACGACGGGGAAGATACAACGGGAGGAAGAACTGCATCTTCCCGGGAAGACTCCCCCACTTCAGCCATAGTTGATAAAAAGGAAAGGCGTCTGTCGCGTCCTGGTGACATCATCAAGGAGTTCCCCTACCGCTGTGTTACCCTGGCAACACCGCACGCCCATGGGGGGGAGGGAAAGGCTTTGTTTTGAACACCATTGCCTTTGAACAAGATTTTCTAGTTAGCGTCTGAGTCTTTTAAAAACTTCAAACAACATTGAAGTACCTGGTGGATCGATATTGCGCATATGTTTTAAATTGACTAGTACATGCCCATTTGGGGAACTTTTAAATTTCTATCTGTGACGACTACTGACCCCACAGACACACACATGGAGACAGTGAAAAAGTCTGAAAATCAAGAATCAATACTTATTTCATCCAGGCTTACACATCTCTGCACTCACCATTATTACAAAGTCTTTGAAGCAATGCAAACCATTGTTGTTGTTTAGTCGTTAAGTCGTGTCCAATTCTTTGTGACCCCATGGACCACAGCAAATCATAATTCCCATTAATTTTTTTAATAAAGAGTTGTTATAGTTATGCACTGTTGAACCATCAAAACTGTTCTATGTCATCAAGTCAGAACCAACTTACAGTGACCCTAATAGGGCTTTTGAAGTATATGAGATATTTAAGAAGTGGTTATACCAGTTCCACTGCTACAGTGAGTTTCCATGATTAGGTGGAAATCCAAACCCTGGTCTCCTGACTCCTAGTTCATCACACTACCACTACACCACAGTAGGAATCCATCAAAAAGTCTAATAATTAATCCTGCTTAAATCCTGGAAATGAAAGGCTATGCCTTCCTTTATTGAGCCTACCCATTTAGGGATGATGCAGGCAGAATAGAAAAACATACGTATATGCTACTTGCTTATGAGGATGGTGCAACTAATATAAGAAAAACAATATTACCATGATGGTTTAGAAGTCTGGAATGGGGAGATGGCCAGTGCAGAAGACCTGATTATCCTTACGTAGCCCTCCCATGAATGAAACCAAACTAGCCCCCTAGTTTATTTGTGAGCAGCCGGAAATGAAACATGGAGGACTGTAACACGAGTGATAATGATGGAAAATCTAGAACAAGTCTGACCGAACATGGGCTAGAATCCACAGGCACTGGAATTCTTCTTTACCACCACAAAGTCTGTAAAGAGTCATGAAGTGGAGTTGACTCTAATGTTAGATAAACATTTCATGATCAGTACCACAGTCCTCTCCTAGTCTTGTTTTGACAGAGAATATTTATTTTTATTTATTTATTTAAAACATTTTACCTCGCTTTTCCCCTTGAAAAGCACCCAAGGTGGCTTACAACAATGAAAGACAATATTTAAAGTTGAAAACAAGGAGTATAAATGGTGGTTAACATCATAGAAATATGATATTTAAAACTACGAACAATGAATAAGGAGGCATCTTACATCATTAACAGGCAATATTAAGGCAGAGATCAATAAGTACAGAATTTTTTAAAAAATGTCACTCTGAGAAATGGAAAACACAAAAATGGAAAACACTAGTACTAAAAATCCAGCCAAAGGAGTAATGCATAACAATTCATCTAAAATATCACACACAGCTAGCTGGTTACTGAGGGAAGGCTTGCCTGAAGAGAAAGGTATTTGCCTCCTTGCAGAAGGATAGCAAAGATGGGACCAGTCTGGCCTCCTGTGGGAGGGAGTTCCAAAGTCTGGGAGCAGCAACAGAGAAGGCTGTCTTCTGTGTCTCCATCAGACACCCCTGAGAAGATGGCAGGACTGAAAGAAAGGCCTCTCCTGATGATCTTAACACCTGAGTCAGCTCATAACGGGAGATACACTCTTCAAGATAGCTTGGACCCAGGCCATTTAGGGCTTTGTAAGTTAAAACCAGCATTTTGAATTGTGCCCGATAACTGATTGGCAGCCAGTGGAGCTCTGTAACAGGAGGATTATGTAATCCCTGTACTAGCGCCAGTCAGCAGTCTGACTGTGTTTTGGACCCACTAAAGCAGGGGTGTCCAACCTTTCACCTTCCCTGGGCCACATTAGAAGATGAAAATTTGGTTTGGGCCACACATAAATTTGTTTAGGGCCGCATGTGGGGGCAGCCCTAGCCATCCTCCGCAGCCCCGCTCCAAGCGCGCTTATCGGCAGCTGCAATCTCAGACAGCAGAGGCTGCCAGCTTCAACTCCGGTGCCATTATGGGGCCAGGAGGAGGTCCACCTATTGACAGGGATGGCGCAATGCAGTTACACAGCCCCCTCTCTCCTCCCCTCCTGCTCCTTCCTTCCTTCCCTCTCCCCCCCCCCGGCCGTTGTGACGTGCCGCAGCCGCATTCCAGCCGCAAGTGCCGGCAGTGTAACTTGAAACTTTGGAATTTTTTTTAAAATAAAAATTTGCACTGGGCCACATTATGAGCCGACCTGGGCCGTATGCGGCCCTTGGGCCGCAGGTTGGACAAGCCTGCACTAAAGTTTCCTGACACTTTTCATTGGCAGCCTTACATAGAGCGCATTACAGTAATCCAGTCAGGATCAGATCTCTCAAGAAACAGACGTAGCTGGTGCACTGGTTTTAATTGTGCAAATGCACTCTTGGCCACTGCTGAGACTTGAACATCCCAATTCAGGGATGAATCCACGAGCACCCCCAAGCTTTGAATAGAATACAGATTCTCCATCTCCTGCTTCCAATTACATAGTCTATTTTTATATTGACTATCTGGAGATGTCCACATGTACAGTCATTTGTTTGGTTGTTTGATATACAGATTGTTGATTTTGCCGATCTCTACGAGTCATTCTTTTGCTTCATTTCTGTCCCATAGGTCAAATTTTCCACCAATATTTGTTTCTGCTTTGTTTCCTATTACTTTTGTGTTTCTGTACTTACGAGTATGACCATAAGCCAGTCTTGTTTTGATGTGTAATCAGTTTCCTCTTGGATGCTTGCATAAAAGCTGTAAATTTCATCTTCTTCAGCATCAGTAGTTGGAGCAAACACCTGAATTATGGTTGTGTATTGGTTTTCCAGAGTGTCTGACGGATATTTTTCAGACCTTATATTTATTTTATTTATTTATTATTTTATTTATATCCCGCCTATCTGGTTATATGAAGCGTCTGTGTTACACATCTTGCCTCAGTATTAGAGCCACTCCATTTCCTCCAAGTTTGTCATTTCAGAATAGAACACTTTGTAGCTGTTTGACTGAAAATATCCTGTTCCACTGCAGTTCACTAACACCAAGCACTGCAATGCTCATAAGTTCTATATCTTCCATTAAGGTTTCAAGTTTACCTTGATTCATACTTTTCACGGTCCATGTTCTAATTGTATTTGTTATGCAGTATCAGACTTTCCTTTCACTTTTATGCATGTCAGTCAATAGATATCCTTTCAGCTTTATTCTAATTGTGTCATTAGCAATAGAGCTATTCATGCATGTCCTTTGATCTTCCACAGTAGCTGATTGAATATTTTCTTACCTGGGAGCATCATCTTACAGCACTATCTCTTGTTTGATATTGGATTGTCTCATCATAGGGATTTATAGTAAGGAAAGCAGGGATTACCATTGCTACTTTCTTTGCAACACTACCAAAAGTTAGTTTGAGTGTTGTCACCTTTGCCTCACTTGCCAGCTACTGCTGCCACCCAGTAGAAGAGGTCCTGAAGAGGGTGGATGCATCTTAGTCTGGTGTCTCAGCTGTGCCCATTCCACTTTTTGTGACTTTGCTAGGAGTCAAGGCTTGTAATGGGGTCTGGCCTCCTGGTGGCATTGCTCTCAGTTGCATTAATACACTCAAACCCCTTCATTATGTTAAGGTGTGCAATAGATGGCAGGTTTTTGAACTGTTTTGTATCCTGACAACACAGGGCAAGAAGACGATCCTTGCCATAGTAGCTGATAATTCTTTACAACATGCTACAGATGCTCCAGATTGCTCCAAATTCCTCTATCTGGATATGCCCAAAGGGACAGGATCATACAGAGCAGTGATGGAAAACTTATGGCACGCATGCCACAGTTGGCACACAGAGCCCTTTCTGTGGGCACGCAAGCCATAAATTGCCAGATCACTACTCTACCCCCGAGCCAAACCTCAGGAGGCGGATCCAGCTGCGGTGCTGGTGCTTCGACAGGCGGTGGGCCAGGATCTGGAGCAGCTAGTGCTGGCAGCAGATCTGGAGTGGGGTCTCGAAGCACCTCCATTACCGGGATTCCCCCTTCCGCCAGTTTGTTTGTTTGCTTTCCAGTTTGGGCACTTGGGCCCAAAAAAGGTTCACTGCCACTGATATAGACCCTGAATTGTTTTGATGTGTAATCAGTTTCCTCTTGGATGCTTGCATAAAAACTTTAAATTTACACAAAAGCTTTAAATTTACAAGAACTGCTGAGTCCAACTATAAATCAAGATAGTCACTATTATGATGTACCCAAAGTTTGGGGGTCCAGTACTTTGCTACTATGTGTATAAAAGATCTTCTACTTGGAGCCATGAAAACAACAAAACAGCACTCTTACCTGTGCAATAAACAAAAACATACTGTGGATCAACCTGAAATACCCTTATGATAGTGCCATAATTTACTCATCATTCAGAGCTTTAAAGAAACAGATGTAATTATGTCCATGTTCCTATAACAGTTTATAATGCTGAAAGTCCTGGAAGAAAGTCCTGCTTCTCTTGTCACTTCATTCAAGGAACAATCCTTTCTTCCAGTAGGACACACTTCCAATGGAAAGAGAGAAATTAACATTAGGTGAATTCTTGATTTCTGCATTGATAAGGAAGGCTCAGTATCTTCTCTGGAAGGATGAAGAAACAAACATTATCCCTTCCCTATTTCAGTGGGGGAGGGACAATAACAGCCATACTTTTTGCTACCTGCATATACTCCCCTCAAGTGTTTCATCCAGACCTTAATTTTAGTTAATCAGGTTTTGCAAGTCTTTGCAATGCCCTGCAAACCTGAAAAAGCTGTTTAACCAGAAATAGTGGGGTGTGAGGAAGGAGAACAATGGCCTTATCACACAATCTTTAGCCGTCATAAAACCATTTTCTGTTCTCAGCATTA